CTGCAGTGCCAGGCTCTACAGCTGCAGTGCCAGGCTCTACGGAGGGAAAGCCAGGATCTACAGCTGCAGCGCCAGGCTCTATGGGGGAAAAGCCAGGACCTACAGCTGCAATGTCAGGCTCTACAGCTGCAGGGCCAGGACCTACAGCTGCAGGGCCAGGCTCTATGGCGATATCCACCCAACTGAGAGTAGCCCTTGCCCTTCACAAGTCGCTCGGTGACAAACACGCGCCGTCTCGAGGGGTGTTCGACTCACAGCAAGCGCAGGGAGGCCAGTCCTCGAAACACGTCCGCCTGGATGCCTTTGATTCGATTGTGCTGCAGGGTTCTGCAGAAGGAAACAGAAGCGGAGGGGGGAGGCGTTTATGGTAAAGGAAACGAAAAGAAAAGGGCCGGACTTGTTAGAGCCTATTTCTATTATGCAACACCATCTCCGAGGGATTACTCTCCACATACATGTTTATTTTTAACGCCTATAAATTACGTCCACTCCCTCCCCTCACAGCTTCAACCGGCAGAGGTAAGATGGAAACTCTGCCTGTGCGTGTGGACGATCCGACACTCGAGAGGGGGGAACCCGTTTCCTGAAGGAAAAGGCCTGAGAGGTGCTGAGACTGGGTGTACTGTCAAGGTCTGGTCTTGAACTCTTTCTGAGACACACCTATTTCCATTTCTCTTAATCTGAGGCATTTGGCAGCTGAATGTAGCACTTCAGAAGGGAAAGCAATTTAGGAAGAGAAAAGTTCATTAAAAAAAAACATTTTGAAAACCCACAAACTGATCATGTGCGGATTTCCTAGACAGTAACTTTAATCAACAGAATGTTTTTGTTTTGCTCAAGCACACAACACTTAATCTTCCTCCCCACTTTCATAGAGAGAGAAAATAAAATAGAAACCTTGTGCCTCATGCCTGGTATGATGAAGACACAGTGTATCTAAATTTACAAGGCAATTACATGTCATTTTTCTATAAAAACAGTACCCTTCAGTCTACCCACTGAATAGATGTATTTAACAGGACAGAGGCCAGTGGCTTTGGGAGAGCTGAGAGGAGCCAGCAGCACCAGGCAGATACTTGTTGGCATCTCGCTTGTGGGCTGTACCAGCGAAACGTGGTTTTCAGGAAGGAGCTGTGTGGCAAGTCATGTGGCACCACACTGTCATCGTCCTTTCATGTTCTCTGCTCTCCTCCAGCTACATTCTTTTGACAAAGAGCGGCATGAAAAAAATCACTCAGGCTGGCCTTTTCAGGCCAGGAAGCCGACACAGTTAAATGGGGCTTCAGTGTATTATTCTATTTTGAGACCTCTTGAAGGCTCTGGCTATCTCAGGGTTCTGCTTAAGATTAGCTTCACACTGCAGCATGCCGGGCAGACATGAAGTATTGCCTACAAAAGAGTGTTCAGTACACAAAGACTATTACTCTGTACACAGGCAGCCCTTCACAATGACATCCTGCAGTATGTATATCCGATATAGAGAGCTCAGAAAGCCAGACTACCAGTGTAAGCTATCTGTATGGTGAAAAATGGGTGCTGTTGTGCAGAGGCGTTTGGTATACGTGCAAGCAGGTCCATGGGACACGGTTCCATGACAGTGCTATGGGCACACCACAGGGCTCTGCTTTTGCAGGTGTGCAGACAGGAATGAGATTTATATATATAACATTACTTTATTAACCCTTTACAATTTCTTGCATTAGGAATTCGCAGACCCCAGCTTGCTCTCCATGAGACACACAGACAGGGAGAGAAGCCTGGGGTCAGAGCGCAGGGTCTGCCATTGTACGGCACCCCTGGAGCAGTTGGGGTTCACAGCCTTGCTCAGGGGCCCAACGGAGTAGGATTCCTCTGCCGGCTGCGGGATTTGAACCGGCAACCTTCCAGCCACAGGCGCAGATCCTGAGCCACAGAGCCACTGCTCCGCCCGATTTGCTTCCTTTAGCGTGAACTGCCTCAATCTATAATTCTGACCCAATGACCTCCTCCACAGCTCTAGAACAGTGCTTTTCAACATGCTCAACGTCCCAAGCTTTTCATGGCACGCCAAGTTACTTTAAAATATCCGTCGCTAATGTTGCTAGAAATAACATTTCTTACAAACGCGAGCTACAGTTGAGAGAATGCGAAATTCTGGACGTGGCTTTTGTGACGAGCCGCTGATTCACTGAAACAGGAGCCGGTTTCGCTGACCAAACCGGTTAACATCTGGAAACAGCTGTTTCCACGAAGCCCCGATCCAGACTCTGAAAACGCGATCTCTTCTTGACTTCCCGGGACGTAAGAAGAACTGAGCCCTTTTGAGTTTCAGGCAGAGAAGTTCACGAGAAGATTTAAAATTTAAAATTTAAAATCCTCAAGGGCATGGGCAAAGCCATGGGACTTCTTCAGGATGAACAGGGGCACTTCTTTGCGAAGAGAGTTGTGGGGGCGTGGAGCAGACTACCCCTCCATGTCGCTGAAGCCGATACCCGCCCTCCTTTTATGAAACAGTGGGCTGATCTTTGGATCAATTAGCTACTCGTTACTACATGGGCCAGACAGGCTGCATGCCCTCCCCTCTCACACAACCTTACTGACGCAGTTTCTCAGCACTGAGACCTTTTCCACAGTGTGCAGTTAGGAGACTGCACCTCGTGCACTGAGATGGCACTAAACCTGTGCCAGCTGACTTGGCTCCCCAGAACCGCAAGTTGCATCACAACGCAGGAATCTCGCTGGCAGGTCACCCCTTGCCCCGGAGCTGTGTACTGGCACCGTGCTACACCCTGCCCTAACCCTAAAACCAACGTGGCTCCAGCCAATGTACTGCTCTCGGATTGTGCACACAGAGAAACCCTCTTGTGATCTCTCCTACTCCACACAGACTCCTTGTTTTGCTTTATTCTGGCCTTAAACATCTGGTGACAAAATGAAACACTTAGAGAAAAGGTTAGAGAAAAGAGACTGGTTTGAATTTAGGACGCTCACATTTCCTCCAGCTTGGTGCAGCCTTGAAAACTCGGAAGCTCTTCAATCTCATTATAGGACAGATCCCTAGAAAGACAGAAGGAAAAAAACAACAAATGTACTGCGCTGTATATCATCAGTCACAGGGACTTCGGATTTCACACAAATCGCTCCATGCTGAAAAGCCTTAAAGTTATATTTAGTTATAACATAAATTCTAACACAACTGACAAGTCCGCTAGCAATAATGAAGAATAACAGTGCAATGGTTGACCTACAAGACACTTCAGCCAACACTGAAAAACATCTCCCATGGGCCTGTAAGGACACAGCAGTGCTCAGCTTCAGCTCCTCTCACCCTTGGATCCAAACCCCAGATTCCAGTTCTAATGAAAGCTGGGGGAACATGCAGCTCAACCTACACTTACTCTCATCATATCCTCTGCTGATCAAGCTGTTCTTGCTGAACGTGTTACTTAGTGGTCAGGGGAAAGGAATTGTGGTCATTGAACAATAAATGATAAGATATGCCAAAGGGACTGTCTGGTGCACATTCCAATCCAGCTTAACCAATTACTTAATTGGTTCAATTAGTGGCTAAATTAACCATTCTTGGAAGGCTGCTATAAAAGATGGAAGGTTTTAATCTCTCCAGGACTAGCGCATGCCTTACTTATACTTTTGTATAAGTTTAGAAAACAGAACTTCAACTGATTTAAAAAAAACCCACCATACACCAGACACATTTTTATAAAATTGGCCATCAGAATAAGACCATTTTTGTCATAAGGTGCATTCATATTTCCCCCATAATAACTCATTCTTTCATTGAGAAGCCCGAAAGATGTACCACAAAGACATGACCTATAGAGGCACAATTCCTACACCACCTCAGAGAGCTCAGGGGAAACTTACAGGGTCCGTAGCAACTTCAGATCTTCACACAGGCTCGCAGGAATGGTATCTATCTTGGTTCCCGTCAGCGTGCTGCAAAACAAAAGGTACACCAGCATGGGAATTTCTTTCGGGATAACTTAAATTTAACAAATGACCCTCAACTGTCCACTACAAAATCACTCAGGGTCTCTAAAAAGAAATATTTGAAGTTTAATCCCTGCTGACATGGGAGCTCTCCGGGTGCTGGGCTGGAGATGTATGGTGTAACACTTGCACACAAGCTTTTTAAAGTCTTAATTTGAATCTAATTAGATTGCTACACCCAGCAGCCGAAGCAGGCCCAGATAACTGCAGTGGTTATTTTGGGCAATTATAGGATCTATGAGCACAGGGTGTCAATCTTGCAAAGACACCTTAGGAACACAGAATCAGAACGGGTTTGTAAAACCCAAAGAAACGAACACACAGATTTAAAAGTTCAGGCTCTGCCAAGAGGATACTGAACTTCAAGTAACATTGGCTGACAGTATGATACAGAAGCCTTTTGATGCATTACTGAATGAATCACGTTTAATTACACATTTTTATTTTGTTCCTTTGTATTGTATTTCCAATTACTCCCAACTGCGTTTTTTTATGAATAGCTTTGCTCGTATAGACTATAGAAATATACTGATCAGCTATTTCTCACGCAGGAAAGAACCTGTCAGTGTCTGGTGAGGAATTTAGGACCAATTAGCACAACACAATGACTACTGGAATTTGACTAGCAAAAGGAAAATGCATGGTAACACAAATTCTGTCATTGAAATACTTTCTTTGCTTTGAAATTCATAAGTCCACAGCACTGTGCTTATCACTAAGCACTACTATCAATTAAGCAGAAGAGTACTTTAAAAATAATGCAGTATTTTTTGGTTATTATTAAAATGGTCTCAAGGTGTTATAGACACACTGGGGACATCTGGTCACCCTTCATCAGGTACAGACAGCTTTGGCACGGTGGTTCTGTAATACCGCACGTGGCAGTAGATTGTCAATGAAGAACGGAACTGGAATCGTAGGTGCAAGGCTGTTCATTTCAGCCTTAAACCGATGAAGCCAACATCAGCTGATAATTCACAAGTCACCCCATCTCCCAGTGAGACTTACAGGCTCTCTAAATTCTCAGTCCCATTGAGGTCAGGAAACCGCAGCACCATACTGGCTCCCCGCACTATCCTGAAATTAAACAGTCACAGCGCGTGAGAAGAACTTCACAGAGGCACACATTTTCTCTTTAAGAATTACAGAAAGGAAGACTGTAAACAGATCACACGCAAGCACTTTAAAGGGGAACTCGAACACTACTTTCACATTTGGGGTTAGAAAGAATCAGCATTGATGAGTGCACTTCAAACCACAATGACAATACAAGGTTCACAGTAACTTATGTATGTGCAGTGCCATGTTCTGTGATTCAGAAAGAGGTAGCAAAACTTCTGGTGGGGTGAGCGGCCCTATGACATTGCAAACAAGCGGGCTTATGAATACATCTCTTCTAATCCAACAGAAATATTGCTCTCGACTTCAAGGTTTTGCTGACAAATACTACTTACTTGCTAACTCTGCATACAGATCACGTTGGAACATTTCTGCAGTGAAATGTCGGCTATACAACCTGTACTTATTTGTTCGTCCATCGCATTACAGTAGTCACTACAGTGACTAGTGAGCAGGAAGGGCTGCATCACGCCACAGTCCGTGGGAACTTGATTATGAGTTTGCGACAACATGGAGACTTACAGTACTTTCACAAAGTTCACGGTTTTGTGCTTAATTTGAAATTTGGCATTTTTTTCTGTAACGTCAATCAATTTGGAGAATTTGCCAAATCAATTACTTAGAGCTACTTATGAGATCAAAGCCAACGGAGATATTTGTTTGGGGGGTGAAGGAGGTGGAGACGGGACATTTCTTTGTAATATGCAAAATGTAGCTGTTGCTAAAGGCGTTCTTACAGGGAGTGGAGCTCTGACAGGTTCCGGAAAGCTGTGCTGCCCACAAACGAGAGGGGGTTGTCATACAAGTGTCTGAAAGAGAAGAAGTGGTCCACAGAGTCACCTTCAAGTTAGGACCAGGAATCGAGAAACCAAAACACAAGGAAATGCGAAAAAGACACCAGCGCATTCAGCTCAGAAATGACTGAAGAAACTGCAATGAAATCAGACACTACAGACTCAAAGAAGTAATGTCCTCAACATGAACCTTGCTTAGACAAAGCTAGAAATGTCGGATTTTTTTTCTAACACTGAGGCAAATGTATTTCGCTCCAGGTACACCAAACAATCAGAATGTTGTTCCTTGTAAAATAAGTTAATGAAGACTCTTAAGGCAACAAGGAACCCTAAACACCTCACCTGGAAAAGGAAAAACATTTGACAGACACAGCCGAAACAGACTCGACGGTGTAAAACTCACATTGCTCTCAGCAGAGGATTTTGGCTGAAGGCTCCATCGGGGATCACAGCAATGTTGTTACTATGAAACCCCCTGGAATAAGAAAAAAAAACTAAATAAAGGGCCGGATATAATTCTGGCATCATTGTCCAACTCAGGGCTGCTTGCACCCAGGTTAAAAGGACAATCCCAGGGGTAATCAAGTCCCTCTTTACCTTGATTTATCATAAAGATGAAAAGGCGCTATATAAATCACTTGGCTGGAGAGGCTCTTGATCTCTACAGTCCAGAAAATGCACTGCTACTGGCACAATGTGTCTGGGAGTTCCCAGGTAGCACTGCGGGTTTGGTCAGGCATCATGGCAACCAAGGCACTGGTGCAAAAGGAAAGATACCTTTGCAGTTTTTGTGAAAAGGCAGTCACAGGTAGAAGGTAGAACAGCGAGCGAGATGATTGAGGGAGGTGAACCGGGTTTGTTGACGTTACTTTGAACCCCCAGGACGACATGCCAAAGAAGGCACCTTATAAAAAATGTTTAGGAGTAGCAGAGCAAGATGAAGTGCATTAGTTTTGCAGAGAAGGGGGAGTAACACTCAGCAATCAGATTAATCTCCTTTTCTTCTTCTTAGAGCAGAAAAAAAAAAGAGCTTAGCACCTGGCTTTCAGAAACTGGCTGGATTACTGACATGTCATTCTCTACACGAAAGAAATCTTTTTCATCTCTCTAAAGCTCGGGATCAAGGTGTCACTGTAAACTAACACTACAGTCATTTTTCTTCATTCTGTGAAAAACTTTTCCACCTAAGGCTCTTTAAATGCGGGGGGGGGGGGGGGGAGGGGAAGAACAAAAAGGTATTGAAATGTTTGGGCCCCGTCTGGGTAACTCGTCAATCTATCAACTTGAGCGACAATTCCCACAGGTCATCCGAGAAGGAGCGCGAGGAGCGCGGGTTTCTCACACAAAGACGAGCAGAATCAGGCTGAGCTGACAGCGCTTCCAGCATGTGGGGCTGTGAGCAGACCCCCCCCATCCCCCTCCCCACCCCCCAGGACTGGAAGGAAAGTAACTAAAAGAAATCAGCAACTTACAGCTCCTTCAGATTTGGCAGAGCCTTGATCGCCTCAGGAAACTCAAGCAGGTTGTTGTAGTTCAGGTCCCTGCGACACAGAGAGGGAGACGGAGTGTTAGGGTGAATGCACACACACTGGTCCTGCCCCCCTTCACCAAGGCCAGTTAACTCCTTTTTCCAGCTTCGCTTGCAGACAGACGAGGGAGAGAAGAAGAAAACAAGCCGTGATGCAATGCGCCTCTGGCTGGGTGCCTGATGTGTGTTTCGGTATTTATTCAACAAATTAAATATTTGAATCAAATAACTGAAGGAACTGCGGGATACAGCAGCATCAGTTACACTGTGAGCTAACAACCAGCTGATCCCATGGCCTTCGCCGTATTCCCACCATAGAGTTCCTCTGAAATTCCATTGCCAGCGGTATTACATAGACAAGCAATTGTCAGGGACGAGGGCAGCAATCCATATCCAAACACACCAGCATAACGCCGGTAAATGGAATCTGTTTACATATTGTACCTTGCCATGAATAATGGTTTTAACAGCACAGCATGCACATACAGTATAAATACACACACAACATATGCTGCAAATCATCTTTTGGCAGGCACTCCTGTTGACTCTCCTGAATACCTTGCTCAACTGATACTGCGCCCTCGTTACATTGCCTGAGCGGATCTGAGACTCCTCCGAAGTCAGAGCACCTCTGAGATCTTGGCAGCCGTCGCAGGCAGGGCTTTACTGAGTTAATGGAGCAATCATGAGCTGTGGAAAGACATTCGGGCCTGTTTTTCTGCCTGTCCCAGGCAGCTGGAGGTGAAAGGTTACAGGGGCCTGCCTCAGTTTGGCAGAAGACTCTAACATTCCCCCCTGCCTAGGAACTGTCACTCTCTCTTCCTCCTCCTCCCCCTGTCCAGCTCCTGATCAGCAGCCATGAACAGACGACATGCGACCCGAACCTTCATCTGCAACATTCCTAGATGACGCCCAGGCCGTGGTAGCGTTTTCTGAGCGCGGACAACGTAAAGTTCATAGATGAAAGGGAGACTCAAACAGAGAAGCCTAGCTGAGCGAGCAGCTCATCCCTACCTTCAACAAACAGAGCCGAAGAGAAAGAGACTGCAGCAGTGCTTGGTTTTTTCTCAGGTTTTTTTTAAAGATCGTTGTGATACTTCATACTGTTAAGTGGAAATATTGTTTGTCTCTCTCCAAGAGCTGAACAGTTCAACACCCCCACATTTCCAGCCAAAATTCAAATGGTTGTAACAGTTATTACACTTCAACTTTTATTTAAATGCAAAGTCTCCTATTAAGGAAGGATAAACAACTGCTTTTCAAAAATACTGCATTTCCACCAATTACTTCTTAATGATAATCTCTTTTTTTTTTTAAAGTTGGAGGAGCTGCAGGATTTGCAGGATTCAGTTTAAAGATCTCTTAGCACGAAGTCAATGAAAAGTCAGTGGTGCAAGAAAACACAGGCCTTCGGCTCACAAGAGGTTTCTGTTCCTCTAGGTGAAAAGCATCAAGGCGTTTTCCATCCTCTGCAGGGCTGGAGGAAGTATCAGCCGGAAATGAATAACGAAGGGGAAACCAGATATCAATCTCAGATGATTTGGTATTTATCCTGGCAGCAATTACTGGAGGAAGTTGTTCTGTAGGCTTCCTGATACGCTAAAGCAGTCTGCAGTGGTAAATTCCACACACAGAAGGAAGAGAGCCCGGCTTTCAGCAGCAGAATTTTAATGCACTGTTTTTTTCAGAACAACAGCAGAGATAGCAAACAGAGACGTCTGCTTTCACGCTGGCTCAAAACAGCTACAAATCTTGACTGCGCAGTTCCTTCTCTTAGCTGGCCTTACAGTGAACCCAGAAGCACTGCAGCAGCTCACAAGCCCATGAGCCCTGTCTCTTAACAGCTCTTGAAGGTCACTGTCACCTTGAACTGGATAACCCCTCCCCCCAGAAAAACATACACACACACACACCCTCGTTGTCGCTCAGAAACGGGCCTACCTCAGGCAAAACTGACACGCTGCACTGCTCTGAATACTGTTGTGAGAAATAGGGCCAGAAGAGCTACTCAAAAACACCTGCATGGAGAAATACCACCCCCAAATTCTGCACCAGAAGACATTAGCCTGAAGATAACAGTACTGGGACTATGAGGAAACTGGTACAGTCCTTGAGCTCACAGAACAGGAGAGTCATCGGAGCCCAGTTTTCAAAATTAGAAAAGGCGCTTGTCTTAAAATACATTCACTTTTCCCCTTGATAGCTCCATCCATGTCAAGAAACAGCAGAGCAGTAGTGAGGCTTCATAGTGTTAAGGAGAGGATGCGGCAGAGTGGTGGCACTGTGGCTAAAGATCTGTGGCTGGAAGGTTGCTGGTTCAAATCCCGTGGCTAGTAGAGGAATCCTACTCTGTTGGGCCCCTGAGCAAGGCCCTTCACCCCAACTGCTTCAGGGGCACTGAATAAATGGCTAACCCTGCGCTCTGACCCCCAGCTTCTCTCCCTGTCTGTGTGTCTCATGGGGAGCAAGCTGGGGTCTGCGAAAAGACAAATTCCTAATGTAAGAAATTGTATATGGCTAATAAAGTGATCTTATCTTATACAAAGGGATGTTTTACCTTTACCACCATATCTAAGCTTTCTCCTCAAATGTTCAACTTCTTCAGGGGTAAAATAATCTACTTTGGATCAACTTTCAAGGCAAATCACATCAGGAGCTATGGAAACGGAAACTCAGAAGTCGTGCGAACCTGCTGTAACTTCACACGGGATGTTCACATCACAGATGAAGACAAAGTAAAAAATACTGGATTTTATGTGGCGATTGATTCGGTTTGTGGCACTTATGCTTGGATTTGCATCGAAGCCACATAAAAACAGCTAAGCTCTCGGCTTTCCTTTTTTTCCATTCTTGCCATTGTAGTCTCACGCGTTGTGTTCAAACTGTACTGTACTCAAAGGCTTTCCTGCTTCTTCATTGACATTTCTCAGATCTGTCAATGGGTTTTCAAGCACGCAGAACACTTGTGTTTGACACTTACAGAGTTTCCAGGTTCTCTAATCCGTTAAAGCAGTGCTCCCCGATCTCCTTGATTTTGTTGTTGTGGAGATGCCTGAAAAACCAAAACAGCATTCTTCAAACACTGGTAAACAAGTGGGTGCAAAACATTTTATAAGCTCCATTGACATTCAACAGGAAAGCAGACTGGAAAAGGGCTATTGATGTAGAATTCATGCTACATTTAATAACAGAGGCAGAACCAACCAGGCCTGTACACGCAGTCAAAACCTGTCACTTTACAGGATTTAGCAAAAGGTCAAAGGTCAAAGGGGAAAGGTCGCTAGATTCATCTTGTTTTTGGGTGCTGAACTGAAGTGATGCAAACAGCTTTGACAGCACGACCAGGCAGCTCTCTCCTGCTTCTAATAGAGCAGAGGGGCGGCTGTTCTGTTTCCCACAAAGGCCTGCAGCAGCCCCCGATCCTGAACTGGATCCATCTCCTGTGCAGCAGGAGCGCCCTGCGCAGGGAGCCAGAGCATGGGGTCTGTCCGGGCGCTGTACTCACAGGACCACCAGGCTGGAGAGATTGGCGAAGGCGCTGTCAGGGATGTGCGAGATCCTGTTCAAAGCCAGCGTGAGGGCCTGCAGGGAGGGCAGGTTGCTCAGGGGGGCGACGGGCACCTCCATCAGGCTGTTGTCGTCCAGCCACAGGTGACGGAGCTGCAGGAGGCCCTCAAAGCTGTCCTCTGGGACCACCGTGATGTGGTTGGCATCCAGCCTCCTACAGAAACAGTAGGCCATTACAATACAAATACAGGCTTATACACAGATTTCCAAAGAGCTGTTGCCGTCATGCACCAGTTCCCATTCAAGCTCTATAGGCCTTTTCCCTCTGCAGTCAGAGAATGACCAGCAGGCATGTGCTACGTACTAAAGACCGACTCTTATCACTTCGGTCCCTTGATCGGTCCTGTGGATGAGGAATGAGAGCTGGCTACAGCAACAGATCTACAGGTCAGCGTCACAGGGCTCAGCGCACCGAGAGAGGTACAGAAGTGACGTCACTCCCCTCTGAAATCCAGACACTGCAAAACTCGGCCGTGGCAGGAGGAAAGGTCTTCCGTCATGGCGGAATTGTCCCGTCTAGGGAGCAGCGCTGCGCGTCTTCAGAGCCCGTGAGCGGACAGAAGGAGCTGCCCCCTGTCACACATTCGCACCACAAGAAACCTTTGTTCGGCATCGGGTCTCCAAGCGGGGGCAAACTGCGCTGAGGGGTGAGGAACGGCTTAGTGCACAGCATTTCCATGAATTAACTGGCACGAAGTGGGATCAAATTAATTAAAAGCATTCGCCCAGCAAGAGATGAAAGGCATTCCTCAAACACATCCATGTCTGTAGGTGCAGTTAACCTAAAACCAACGTCTAATTCTTCTAAATAATACACCAAAGAATTATTTAGTGCCTTGCTGAACTCTTCCAGACTGCCTTTTGTTCTTTTTGGAACTCCGCCCCCTGCAGACATTTCCATTTGCTTTCAATATGGTGTGAAAAAATTAATCAGACCTAGAAAGAGAGCCACACACAAACTACTGCAGGTGCGAGCCAGACTTGAAAATTACTCGCAGTTGCCAATCACACGCTGACAGCCCACTCCTCTCACATCTCCCGGCCCGAGCTGAACCAAAAGCACACAACTGCAGCAGATACAGGAACTCAGTTTGGCTGACCCACTTGTCAAGTCCCCATGCTTAAAACATGCATTTTCGATGATCTCATAGGAAAAGGATTCACAAACGCATTTATCACTTTTGGGCTATGAATCACCCAGGCATTGCACAAGCTGGGAATACCAGAGGTCTGGCTACTGAAATGCCTTACATGAGTTCTGGGAGGTTGAGGAAACCCTGTTGTTATCATGGAATTATTTGCAGATATTTACTGCTCTGTTTATACAGGCGTTTGCCTCAATGGTTCCAATCTTCTGACCACAATGAGGGTCCTGAGCAGTTAATTGCGGCTGAATTATTTCCTGTTTATGAATGGTAACTCACTTCTCCTGCTCTGCTGTAGGCACGGCCTTTAACTACATACCAGCGCGTGCAGATTCTGTACAGTAACTCCCGGCTGAACCTAAACAAAACTGCTAAAAGGGACAGGGACCTACGGTTCTGCAGCACACTTCGTATATTTTTGAAGCCCACCTCTTTTCTTCGCCCCCCATCCAGGACCGCATCACTACTACACTTTAGGGGCTGGAGTGCCTGTGTATCCGTGGAACTTTGGGGGGTGGGTTTCAGAAGCATCGGAGCAAAGTATCAGCCCTGGCTGGGGCTGTTGCTGCCCTCTCGGGCCGGCGGGTTCAAAAAGCAGGTCGACAGAGAGGACAGAACAGGGTGGCCGGGACAGCATCCCTGGTCGGCGTCGCGCAGGTGGGACGGGTGAGCGCTCTGAGCTGTGGGCCTGCCGCCGCCGTCTCCACGGCGTTTGGGAAGAGGCACCTGCGGGAACCCCTCCCAGCTCGGAACGCAAAGACACAGCCAGGGTCTTGTGAGGGCATCGGTATGGCATCACCTGTCCGCTCGGCGACCTGGGAGTCACTGCAGATGTGTAAGGCCTCGTGAGGGGCGCCCCTACCACACGCTAAATACACAGCGACCACCCCCCCACCCCGCCTCCAAAATCCTCAGTTGAAGGAGAAAAGGGGAGCGTGTGAGAAGAAGAGAAGGAGAAGAGCCTGCTTGAAGCTACCTGTCTCCTACCCAACCCTGAAGATCAAAGCCCCTTCCCACACAGTGGCTGAAAACCTCCCTGATAGAGCTCCCCTGACAGCTCTTTTCATTAATCCACCACCAAAAAACGAAACAGCACACAACCCCAGACTGTTCTGCACGGGCATGCAGGACTGTCAGTGCAGATCCGAGCCCTGCGTTCAGATCATTAATGCTTTTAAGCACCGTTTAATCGCGTGCCGTCTCCTCCCGTCTCCCGCGCCATCGGCTCCCAGCCGAGTCCCAGAGTTACAAAGGCGGCGCAGACGGCCTGGCGGGAGGAACTGGGGCACCTCCCCGCCGCCGCGCGCAAGGTGGGCCGGCCGCGGGAGTCCCAGAGAGCTCGAACGGAGAAGGACACGTTCAACAAGGAACGCCCGCTCGCAGTCTTGCGCCTTTCGAAGACGCGATCCCGCGGAGGTCTGCCAGGCCGCGGGGGTGCCCCCTTTCTAAATCTGCGTATCACAAGGGTGCTCACGCGCGTGTCCCAGTGCGCCCCACTCTGAAGTCCGCACCGGAATGGACTCTGCCGGAGGGCATCACCCCCAATTCCTCGTGGAAGGGTGACGTTTCGCTTTCGAACCTATCAGAGCGTACTGTCAGTTTTGGGCTGGGACAGATGATCTGAAATATATTCAGTAGTACAAATCCTTGAATAACAGAGAGTGGCACTGCCACGTTTTCCTTAGTTTACTGCGCTTGTTTTAAGTCGAGCAGCTCTACCTGAATGAACATGACTCTTGTGCAGGGATCGACGAGATGAAATTCTATTTCATCAAACTGGGAGGGGGGGAGTGATTTTTAAAAAAATATCTGCCAACGTGCACCGGAAAAGAAGCAGCGACAACAGACAGCACTGTGACTCTGAGCCGCGTGACCAGCGCGGTGCCGTCACACGCAGGGGGTCCCCAGTACCCTGTTTATAACGAGGCCCCTCGAATCCTCGCGCACTTCAAGTGCACAAGTCCGCTACGTCACAGGAGTGCGGACCTGGAGGAAGAGCTTAGGACTCGGTACCGGAACTGGGACACGGCAAAGGTCGTCCCCGGGCTGACAGGAAAGACGGAGAGCCGAATGGATATGGATTTCGCCCGTGGGGGCAGGTTGCGTTGTAGGAACTGGAGAGCAGGTGGGGTGTGTGCTGACGCGCCACATGACCTTTCCAGTAGAAGCTCACCAGGCGGCTAGTCTCTGTGTGCTGCATCTCCTCATCTTCTTTCTTTCTCACTATCTAGGCCAAAAAGTGCTTTTCTTTACAATTACAGCTTTGGTTCCACAGAATGGGACATCTTACACAATGTAACAGGTTTCTATTTCATGAGAACATCCTTCCATTTACTAACTGCTTCATCCATTCGGGGTGGTGGGGCAGCCCATCCTAAGCCAGCAGCCATATCACCCTGCAACTCACAACTGGCAGCCCCACTGGAGCTCAGCAGGTGTGAGCCTGGCCAGTACCTGGATGGGAGACCTCCTGGGAAAAGGTTGTTGCTGGAAGAGGTGTTAGTGGGACCAGCAGGGGGCGCTCACCCTGCGGTCCATGTGGGTCCTAATGCCCCAGTATAGTGACGAGGACACTATACTGTAAACAGGCGCCGTCCTTCAGATGAGACGTAAAACCAAGGTCCTGACTCTCTGTGGTCATTAAAATCTCGAAAAGAGTAGGGGTGTTACCCCAGTGTCCTGGCCAAATTTTCCATTTTCCATTGGCCCCTACCAATCATGGCTTCCTAATAATCCCCATCTATGAATTGGCTTCATTACTCTGCTCTCCTCCCCACTAATAGCTGATGTGTGGTTTCCCTTAGAGGTCAATTAATTATTATTTATGAACATAATAGTGTTGCCTCAGTTATGAGTAGGAGTCAGAGAGGAGGGAGTTCTCTAAAACCATTTATTTATAATGTATTTGCCTATTGACGTACTGTTTGAGATACAGTTTTCTAAACCAAAACAAATTACGATAGACTGGCCCCTGACAGCTCTAGCACGCACTTTCCAAAAAAAATAACTTAACTAACCTTTTTAATTTTTTATTTTTATTTTGGTACACCTCATTTCCAAGCAAAACAATACCATTAAAGCTGTCTTGGCATTTAAAAACTTTTCTTTTTTAAAACTGCAGCCCTCAATAAAAAAAACAAACAAGCTGTTGTTGTTTTCATCAGCTAGGAAATCAGTCCGCAAATCAGGCCCTGTCCCTCATTTTGTTGAGGAAAATAGAAACAATAATGTCAACAGGCTGTCTCGACCCTTATCTCTGGCAATCTCTGATAAAGCTTCGTCACTTGAGCTCCTAGACACAACGATGACAGAGATAATCTTCAAAATAACCATCAAAGCAGAGCTCAGGCAGGCAGTCAGGCCTCGGGGAGAAAGCTTGTCACTTTCAGGATGTCGAGGAGGCAACGCCTCTGGCCTGTCAACGCTGGAATCCTTCACCAGGAAGAAGCCTGCACACGCGAAGGGTGAGAGGAGGAGATCTGCACCTGCACCCGGAGGTCCTGCTCGCCCCTTCGCAGTGTGCGTCTCCCACGAGGGATCTCACAGGCAGCGCTGGGTTGCCTCTTCCCTCTGCGACAGACTCCAGCTCCTCCCTGGGGATTCCCAGATTTTCCCAGCGTTCCCAGGCCAGCCGGGAAACACCGACCCACCCCCCTCTCCCCCAGCGAGTCCTGGGTTGCTGGCAGGGGGTTGGTGTCTCAGCCCAGTGGGAGGTGCCCAGGGGAGCCCCAGCAGATTGGGGGTTCAGTGCCCCTCAGCTGGCTTCTCTTGATCTTTGGGGTATTCTGGGCTCTCCCATCGCAGTGAATCACCCCAGGAGGCCCCGAAAAGAGACCTCTTTTCCCCTGCTGGGACCCCTGATGTGGCCCAGGGGTCACGACCCTGGATCAGGAGGGAGACACAGAAGATGACACACCTGCACACTAAGGGCTCGCTCACATTCCCAGCTGGGAACCCTGAAAACTCTAGGGTCTTAAATCGTTTTTTTGCCCCTGTAGCAAAAAGTCACTTAAAGACGCCTGGTGAAGTCGAACACTAGAATTCTTAAGACCTGTCATGTATTTGAGGAAAGCAGATGCCCAGAAAAAAAAATTAGGCAAAGCCTTTCATATTTGCTCCGGAAATCCATGTTAGATTAGCAAGTGGAATAAAAACTGGATCTGTCTGCCATACGGGTGAAAGCCAGCATGAGACTCTTACTATTAATCTTTAAAAACCACACATAAAGGCAAACCCTGCAGTTTCCCCAAGCTTTACTCATGATTTCACTGAGCTTCACTCAACTTACCGAGACATAGCACAGCATACTTTTCAAGAGTGAAATCACCCCTTCGTTTAGATCTTTATAATAAAATGTCCTTTTCTCGGATCTTGCAGACTGAAAGGACATTTTTTTTTCTGAAATCTTGAGTTATATATATTTAGCGATTCTAGATCCCATCCAGATTATTTTGATCCTTCGATCTCCAGTGAGATAATTTAAGGCTGCCCATGAGTCCCAGTTCCCTCATAGCATAAGGATTCCCATCAAAGAACACAAACGACAGCACTAAGGGATTTACTGAGGCTTTCTTCCAAGGCAATTTACATATGCACCCATTTATACAGCTGGTATTTTACTGGAATAATGTGGGTGAAGTTTCTTTCTACTTGGTGATCAAGGAATGAACAGCCAGAAATCTGGGATTTAAGCCCACACCTTCCAGTTAAGAGTCCAGAACCCTGACAACTGCACCAGACACACTGCTGCCTCAAAATATTATTGAGCAGATTTGTAGAATGTATGAATTCTACATCAGAGATTACAAATCATCAAGGATCTTGGAAAGTTTACAAAGGCAAACCATTCAGTCTTCCTGCTCTCGGGTGCTGGGGTTTAAGGACCTCAGGGACGTATTTTAGAAGATCTCAAGGTGTCTATAACTAGCTCCTTCCCCCAGTCCTTCTCTTCACCAGCCCGGTCTATTTCATAAGTACATCACTCGTGTCAAAGATCATATCTGTTGGGGATTTTAAACCAAGAAAATTGTTTTTATCGCCTTCAGTCAAACGAGAGGCAAAGATCTGCTCAATTAAGATCAGCCATTCCAATACGATTGTGTTCTGGTTCAATATGCTTATTCAGTGCATCCCGAGTTGCACCTGTTCCTTAAAATGCAAAGTTTTGCATGATCACTCTAAACAAAAATCAGCCCTTTCTCTGAACATACAGTACAAAATAGCATGAGCAAGACCAACCACATGCTTCTTTCTAGTAACCACTTTATCCAGGGTCGGCAATACCTCAGAATAATGGTTTGAGAAGTCAGTGAAGTTAAGGACCTATGCCCCTAGCACCTGAAATCAGATGGTAGTCACTTTTATTTTCTCTCTCCTCTATGATTTACCCAGGGTTAAAGTGAACATTGCACTGACAGCACCTCCTCAGAAGTTTGGGACGAAAGCAGCATCTCCCTGCCAAGGTGCATTACTTAAGCTATGAAACTTAGTGCCTCAGGGCCGAGGAGAAACAAAAAAACAGCCGCAAAACTTAAAGAAGGAGGAAAAAACAACAATGCCTGATTAAGAAAGAACCCACTGAAGTGATAATGACCTAGTAGCTGCTGTCAAGCCTGAGACTACCTTCTTTCAGGAAAGGCCTTTGGCAGAGTGTGTGCTGTTTGCTTGACAAAGGCTTTAATAAGACAGATGCCAAGAAACTCTGCAGACCCAACAGCTAGCGCTGAACCACTGCTTAACGCCTGTCGCTTTGTGAGGTGGCCTGCTCATGACCTCCGAAAAAGCTTGCTGATGAAGAGACCAGGTTTTCAAAAGCAGCCAACTGCTGTGCAAGATCATAGTTTCCAGGTGCCTGCAACAGCGGTGATAACTGGTAACATTTCCTCATATTTATATCACACGGTTCTCAAGGACAAGAAAACAGAAAAGGTCACTGACCTGCAGATCAGCACCCAAGCAGTCAATCACACGCCCACAAATATCAGAAAACCTCTTCAGATTAAACGTCTCCATAATTGGACTGTTACCAAGTTCCATCAAAACTAATCTGACTTGTTCTCTCTAGGCACTTTGGACAGATTTCCAGCGTTTGAGTTCACCTCAACACCAAGACTGCCAGCGGTCTTTAAAACCATTAAAGACTTTAACAGGCACATAACTGACACCTACTCGAAAAGGCAAACATTTAATGAAACCCTCTTGGGCTAAGGGAGCTCTTAAAATTCACTTGAAATGGGGCAGGGGTTCAAGGAAACTTCTGTTCAGTTTTGCAAACAAAACCAGCTAACGCAACTGATGACAGAGCAACAGTTGCAGAATTGACACGTAAGGTCAGGAATCTTGAAAATACACATGCTGCAATTCGCCGCCGTTAAACTCCAATGGTACTCCAGGAGAACAGCGGAGGATGTGAGACGTCCTTGGGGAAAGAGCGTTCCTGGAAAATGGCTAACCATTCTTTTGCGTCTGCTCAGAATCACGGACGCCGCTCAAACCATTTTCGGACTGCAATGCGATCTTTTCGTCAGCTGTAACGCGCCGTTGTCACCGCACTGGAAATCCTGCAACTGCGATGCCCTCTCCTGTGTCGAGCACGTGCAAACTGGAGCTCTGTGCAGCAGAAAACACCCACAGTGACTCCTGCAACGGTTTGACAGGCCTCATTGTTCTTTGTTATTCTTCGAGAGGCGTGTGGCTAATTCTTTAAGCCTTCCTGTTATGACAAAGATCTGATTCCTTTCCAAGGTGGAGAGGGGGGCCTGAGAAGTAAAAAGAGGCAATTATAATCGGCCCGATTGACAGCCTGTTATTAGGGATGACATCGGCCAACATCTCCACGTTCCCTTGCTTGTTCCAGAATGTAACAAACGCTGGCTTTGTCTCAGAAAGTTCCCACAACATCAGGGCTGCAGAGGAGGCGAGAGAATTCCTTTCAGTGTAGATTTCGTAACTCCCAGCTCGGTGCTTTGGAGGGTCTGATCTACCATACCACCCCCCCACCTCACGTCCCCGCAGCGAATGAAGTAATAAATAAAGATTCGGAGCCACTGGCCAGCTGTGGAAAGGATTTCCCCCGACAGCCGCGAGAGTACCGGCTAAGTGGGCCGGGGGGTCAGTGGGGCAGAACGTGCTCAGCACGTGACAGAACGGCGATCCCAATGACTTCCCACGCGCCCGTGATGTCAGCGAGCGAGGGGCCTGTCTCCTCCAATCACAGAGGCCGCAGCGTATCGCAGGTTGGAAGGCCTGAAGGGTGGGTAGGTCTCAGGAGCCTGCCTGCACTTCTTCTTTTTCCTCCAGGGAGGCAGGAGTCGCAGCGAGCGGAGGTGTAAATACCCCCATCTGGGCATGTAAGAAAGAACAACTGGCCATTGGGAATTCGAAATTAGCGAAAGGTTTCGAAGCACTCAGGCCATCTTGTTTATTTTCTAGCTAGCTTCTACAATAACCCCGGACGCTAAAAGCAATTTTCAAAACCCGAAGTAAAAGGAAAGGCAGCTTCCTATAAGCTAGTGTCTCTGACGGAGGCTTGACAGAAGGGGTACTTTGTTTTAAAGGGCGGACAACCCCCGCGGTCATTCAGAAACCGAAGCAAAAAACGTTTCGTTTTTTTTTCAATCCGTGTTCCGAACTCGGGACCCACTTTGGAGGCTCCACACTTACATTCAAGTCTCGCCGTCTGAAAGAGAGCTCAGCCGGTGACTCAAGATGTCAGGGATTGCACGTTCCAACTCACGTTCAAACACTGGATGCTGAAACCAGCAAAGTAACAGAGCGACGAGTCCAACCGTGACCACAAAGAAATCTGTCGTGCCAACTCAAGCAAGTATGGCTCTATTCTCCAAGTAGGCAGCAATGTCAACATGTGGAGGCTGCAAAGGAACAAGTAAAGTTTTACTCCATGCTGAGAAGAGAAGAAACAATGTTTTGGCTGTGGAACCTTCCTCAGCTGTACCGGGTGTATCACAGATGGAGGCTTCACAGCCAAAATGTTGTGTTTCTTTTCGACATGGACTAAACCTTTACTTGTTCCTTTGGATGTATTCTTGTTTATCAACCGAGGCAAAAGACCTATAAGGCCTTTACCAAAATCTAGAGTCATTCCTACCGAAATGCTACACCCCCGCCAAGACAATTCGACCGGCAAGAATACAAAACATTTGCCCTTGAGCCACACATCTAGAGCTGAGATCTGGGCATGTTTGAGGGATGTTTGCATGAAGCGAGCAGCCATGCGTGGCTGCGTCAGAGGGGACGGACTTACAGAGACTGCAAGGCGTGGAGTCCTTTCAACGCCTTGCTGGGAACCGTCTTCAGCTGATTGTTCTGGAGCATCCTGGGAAGACGGAGCGAAATGTCAAGAAAGAAACTCCTCTGCACACACTGAGGAAAATAAAAACACATTCACACGGGCACGGAGGTGGGGCTCGATCCGACAGGATCGACTCGACGCTCCCCTCTCCCAGCTGATGCCTGCACGACACGGCGCGATTTAAAGGGAAGCAAAATGCCTCGCTTTTAAAACTCGGCCACTTCTGAGCACGTCCACGCGTGCTCAATCTTGAATTTTAACGTCAATTTTCACAGCGGTAATCAGATCGCGATGATTAGTCATATGATCATATCTAACAGATTAAGGATTCCTAAAACGGAATAAGGGTCAACTTATTCTGCAGGGCGGGCAGACTGGTGCCTGATGGACAGAAGACCAGCCACCTGTAGGCCAGCGGCTGAACGCGATAGCCTGTCCGCACTTCCCAGCCCACGCACCTGAGCCCGCCCCCTCAGAGCCACAGACCATCCCCTATCTTTTTCACAGTCCTCCTGCACCTATAAAAGGAGCCTGGATCAACAGGTAGAGTTAACACTCTCACGAGCTGTCCTCTGTTGATAAAACGTCCTGTGGTTTGGTTGGGCATGCTTTTTTATTGCATCCCGACAAATCTCCCCAAAATCCAGAGAACCCTCAGCGCAGGCACTCCAGGGACTGTGCAGCAACAGCAACACCAGATCTTATTGGCTCGTAAGCCCCCTGGCACTGACCTCCCCTCGCAACTCCACAGAGCAGGCAGGGATACGCATTCCAGCACAGCACAGATAAGGACCTGCGAACGAGCATTGTTTCCATCTCCCAGTGGAATGCACAACGAGCGATAAAACATAATCCCTCCTGGGCGAACGTGGTGTGAAAAGAGCACACTTTCTTGCACACTATCAGGTTAACCCACAAGCAACTCTCAATGACGCCCTGCCCTCAAGCATGCCTGGTATCGCTGAGGTGCCACATACTGTACATCGTGTCTCCGGTGGAACTGGGCATGATTACACGCAGCCAGCGATGAGTAAGAAACACGGGCAAGAGGCTTCTTAATACCAGGCTCACCTCTGCTTATCTGCAGTTTACAGCCAAATGCGGCAGCTGGCAGTGCGAACCAGGTGGTGGCTTTATTCCAGGTTGCCAGCCCGTCATCATCAAATCCCTGCTCGCCCAGACAGCAGACCGCACCAAACGTGGACCGGAGCGCGCCGGGAACAGTGTGACTGTTAACAGCTGCAGGGGCACGCTGGGTACTTACAGGACTTTGAGGTGCTGGAGTCCAGACAGGGCCTCCGGGTGGATGAAGGCCAGATCGTTGCCGGCCAGCCTCCTGCAAAAGAGAGCGAGAGAGAGAGAAAAAGAACATCAGCCGTGCTCGGGCACGAAGCACCTCCTGAGCCCCCTCCACGTTAAGACGGGCACTTTAGCTGCGGCGCGGCAGGAGCCCGCCATCTCAGCCCTGCGCGGGGCAGGGCCTGACGCAGATGCTCCCTGCAGAAGGCGATCTGTCGGAAGCCTCATGAGGTAAGAGGGCAAGTTCCCCATTACCCCCCCTGATGCTCTTGCTCAGCTACCATGGACAAAGCACTCGAGAAGGGAATTTTCTAAATGACTCTCAATAATAACCGTAAATAACCACCACTGTCAAACAGGCCTCTTGTAATTACAGGAAAACAAATGTGCCATAAATCTTTCAGTGTAATCCCAGTGGCACTGCAGTTTATGTAAGGCTATGTCCTCGTTCCATCACACACTTATGTAAAGTTTCAGCACCCATCAAATGTGTAAACAGTCCTAAACTGCTCCCAGGAATTGCTCATTCCGATCTTTCTGTTATTTTTTGTTCATTTTTCCTTTCTTTTTTAGGGCTTTTTTGAAAAGCCCTGTAGTTTATGCAGCTTGCGGTCTCTGGGGTCAACTCCAGGCTTTCCGTGAGGAAGGGCCTTTTTCATACAGGTGGGGCTGAATTCACCGCTGATCAATGAAATAAGGAGCACGGGACCTTTGCTTCGATCAAATGCTCCATGGAAGGATGTTTCATCTGTCCAATAGTCCAGCATTGGTACTTCCACCATCAGTCTGTTCTAATAGGATCATACTGCACCTGCAGCCCAGCTCTGGCGTTGCCCCACTGCTCAACTCAAAGTCCATCTGCAGTCTGGCTTCAAAGCAAATTGACTGAATGTATGTGCCTCCATGTGAAATCATGTACGCAGTATTTGCATGTCTCAATAGCCAAAGGGGAATAACGAAAAGCAGAGCAGAGTGTTTTAAAAGCTGGTCCACTGCAGGACTCTGCTTGCAACAGCCACATGGTGACCCAGTAGTATGTCCCGCAACTTGGATGGTTTCTCAGAGGCAAGGATCACCACTTGCCATGTTTCTGAGCCTGCCATCGCCACAGGCCCAAACACCGGGGTCTTTGCAGAAATAAGGGTCCAGCCATAACTGGGTGGTGTGTGGGGGCATGAGATTTCTTGGCCTTCCAAAGCAGGGCTCAGCTCATGTGGAGCGACAGTCATGTGTGTGTGTGTGTGCGCCGTTACAAGCCAGTGAGCCTGACAGCAGACAGGTGGGCTCACTCAGGTATTCCCATGTCTCCAATTCATATCTCAACATCAAGCTGTGGAGTTCCTGCTAAAGCAAAGAAGAGCCAGCTGTCTCTGAAGGACAGAAATAAAAACAACAACCTTTGTTTGACTAACCTGCATTCGTCGGGAATGGAGAGACAGGCCGAGGAATTTATCTCGATAAATTCCACCCTGTCTCATGGCAAGCTAGAAAAGACAGGTCTAGCACATCAGACTACCTGAGAGCCAAGCCATGTGATGTGAATGGGCATAAAGTCTGAGAGCTGCCTTTTTCCCCTTGAACTCTAAAAATATCGCCCCATTTTTCTCCCCTTGTTTCATGAACCTTAAACGACTTCTAAACGCTGAAGAGGAGAGCGTCTGTGTGGTCCCATTCTCTGTCGTGGTGTACAGGACTGCACACGCCTAACCCTGTCGAACGTGCACGGAAATAGAGATGATGGCAATGATATCCATCACATGCGAGCTGCTTTAAACACAGCAAACACCAGACACCAGAGCCGGGACACTTTTAGAACACAAAATCACGGGGCTCTTGTTCGGAACTGAGCCCTACGCTCAGAGGCTACCAGTTGGAGTGAGTGCAGCCCATGCCTTCAGCTAGCTCTAACTGAAGATGTAGCTCTACTGCTACATCTGTTCTCTTTCTTTTTCTTTTTCCCGTTTACAACCACTTTTGTGCAATATATGCCAGGGACCTGTGCAATACATTTACATCTATATTTATATCTATATCTATATTACATCTATATTTATATTCATATGTGTGATACGATTTTTCTGTGTACTGTTCTGTTCTAGTTTGCTCTTGTGTGTCCGGACTGTGAGTAACTCTTGTATTGTATTGTATGTATTGTACTATTATTATATAATTCGTTACACTGTGTCTGTGTTGTCTGTGTTAAGCTGCTGTTGCACTGCAATTTCCCTCACGGGATCAATAAAGTATCTATCTATCTAACTGCTCACCAGCTAACTTGCCATAAGCTGCGATGGGCTTGGGCTTGGGCATGGGCTTGGGTCAGCCAGGGCATCCATGCAGTCGTGGGGCAGCAGCAGTTCCTGGGAATGTGCTGGGCAACCTGAGATCCTCCAGTGCTTTCAGTGAGACCTGCAGCACTCCTCCAGTCAAGTCCTGCCCTGCTGTGAGACTCTCACACTAGTGAGATTCTGCCACACAGTTTATGCCATCCTAGTGCCAGGAAACACTTCACAAAAAAACTGCCCATGCCCTCCCTTGACCTGTACTTCGGGCAAGCTTTACAAAACCTCCTGAGGTCCAGCTGATGTCCCTGCAGGTTTCTGAGGTATCTACACATACTGCTGCTTTAAAGGGGTGAGTAGACGTTGGTAAATTGGTTCAGCTATTCCACTCATGATTTAGGGCAATAGGAGTCTGGGTTGGACTAAACACCTTCAGACATGAAGGCCCTCCATCCTTGTCTTAGACGCTGACATGCTTCTTCGCACTCGGAGCTACCTAATGCGAGATTACGCGTGCCACCATTCATCATCCGGGCTATGGCAAGCTGACAGGAGCAGAGCTACGCCCCTCATCGTGGATCACTGGAAAGGGGCAGGAGCCCGGCAAGTCCCAAGAGTCGAAGCTTGTCAGGACCTTCGACTTTCTGGCAAAGCCAGCCCTGCCCTGGGGGTGCCCGGGCAAAGCCAAAATACTGCTAACCCTCCCGGTATATACCGTGGTATATACGACTGCCCTCACCTATGCCAAAGGGCTGCCCCCTCTTGCCACACCGATCCTATGCACTTCCACGTGCGTCGGCGCGACCTTTGACCTATGTTCTGAACTGCAAAGGTCTGCTCCCATAAGGACACAACACTAAAACACGGCGCAGACTAAGGTCTGCTCCTTCCACCCACGGCTGAGGGGTGACATGACAGGCGTGCGCCCGGCCTCGTCCTCCGAGATCCTCCTGCTAGAGACAGCCAGCACAGCCGTGCTGAGAAAGCACCCCCCCTCTTCGTCCTGCAGGCAATTTCATGAGGTGATTTACAGGTGATGTTTCGGAGCAGTAAATCTGTCAGTGCCGCTTTCCGACTCCATTGTGTTTAGATAAACAAGACCCAACCAGAAGAAGCAGGTCTTGCGTGAGAGAGGCCGGGATCACTGGAGTCTACCTCAAGGCTGCTCCTGTTTTTTTTTCAGCCTGCTGTTCTCCCTTTTATACTTCCGTTTTTCCCTGCCTGGCTGTTCTCCAGGGAACAGGATACGACTGGTCCGCTCGGGCAAAACTCTGGAAAATCGGTTTGGCAAAAGTAGACTTGTACCGGCCGTACACAGATCATAGGACGGGATTTGTTATTGGCCAAATACAATTGCTTGCCTTAGGAATTTGTCTTTTTGCAAACCCCAGCTTGCGCTCCATGAGACACACAGGCAGGGAGAGAAGCTGGGGGTCAGAGTGCAGGTTCAGACATTTATACAGGGCCCCTGGAGCAGTTGGGGTGAAGGGCCTTGCTCAGGGGCCCAATGGAGTAGGATTCCTCTGCCAGCCACGGGATTTGAACCGGCAACCTTCTAGCCGTTGGGCGCAGATCCTTACCCTCAGAGCCACTGCACCGCCCCGCACCGCTGAGTTTCTTGAATCGGAGATAAAAGCTGCCAGCACTAAGGAGCTTTGCATATTGTTCCAGTCCTCTGGCTGAACACATCCAGGCAACCTTGAGACGCACAGCCAGCAGGTCTTTTGGCTCTGAATGCGACCCTCCCAGTCACTGTGTCATTGCTGAAGTGAGCACTTCTATAGCAGAAATGCACTCGCAAGCAAACCCTGTGCCTGTGTCCCGCTCTGAAAGAACACAGCCCTGACAGAGAGGACTGCAAACAAGTCATCTTTCTTAGACTGAAGTTAAAACTGGTCTTCTCGTCAGAGTGAACAGCGTTTAAGACTGCTTAACAGGAGAAAGAACTATAAAAATAATTAGAAGAATACTTCAGCAGCAACAGGACAGCCCATCCTGGGAGTACACAGGCCAGGCACACTAAAGAAAACATTTAGTCTGGGAAAGTGCAGGAACTTGCTGAATTTCAAATCGGGCTACGGACTGTGTCTGTGCCCGAGGCCTCACAAGGGGTTGTACAGTGAATTGGTATTTTCTAAAGGGGGAAAACAGAACCATTTCATTGCGAGTTACCAGTCTGAAAAGACAGGGAGGGTGAATAAGAAAACGCACCACCCAGACAGCACTTTCCACACGAAAATGCCAGGAAGAAAAAAGGATCTGAAATGCCAAACCATCACGTTAAACACGGGCTCGACTCCCTGTTTGAGCCTTTTCAACATAGCCCGTGGACTCTGCGAACAGCAGAAGATCCTGTGTTTGTGCAAAAGTGTCTCACAAACACCAGCAATACACCTTGATCCTTAAAGCACGCAGACGCATGTGCACGCACACACGGACGTTTGTTGCTATCATTATCTCTCGACTGCGAGCTTGCCATCTCGCAAACGTACAATTTAATAAATCCAGCGAGGCACACCGGGCTCATCCTATAACAGACATGTCTGTGAACAACACACAACAGCCATGTGTCAACAGACTTTCTGACTCAGGCTTGTTTGAACAGGATTTGATTCTTGCACATCACAGAGCTGATTCCCCTGAAAGTTTTTAGCCACTGTCAAGCCACACAAAACCCTTTCTTTTCTTCTCTCTCTCTTTTTTTAAATCAACAGCTCCGCAGCATTCCTTCAGCACAGCACATGCTGAAAAGTAAATCACCCTCTGACAATGGAGATAAGGCAACTGTTTATTAAGGGAGTGAAGCATACGCCAACAGGGGAAGAGATATGCAAGGTTAAGAAATGCCAGCAGATTACTTTGCTGTGAATTTCCTCTCGCTAGATGACTGGCTGTAAGTTTCTGGCTGCCAGGATCTGGGCCTCCTCCTCTTGTCTCGCAAAGCTCTCCCAATCACACTCTCGAGTTAAGACTGCAGACCAGACAAGCTCTTTTTCTCCCCCCCACAGCTAAACACATTTTCCCCCAAAGCTCAGTGTCAGACAGAAGCTTAAGTAAGCCCACACTTCCCAGCATGAGTAATTAACGCCATCACTCCCACTCAGGAAAAGATTTTCACTCCGGTTCCTCATTGTTTGCACGAGGGTAGGCAAATACGGGATGAGCCGCGATTCCGATCTGCGCGGCCAGAAAATTAGAAGGCAGTTCCGTTGTCACCAGCAGAGTGGATTCCGGGTGCCTCCCTGCTCAGTTTCAATGGAAACACGAAGGACACTGAACCCTGCGCACCCAGCCTGGGGAATCTCCACAAGGAAAATGCAACACAGGGGTGAGCATGCTGGGAGCCCGGGCTGGGGATGAATACAAGATCAAAAGGAGATGCAACGCTCAGAAAAATCCATTTTGTGGGGGGCGAAGCCCCCCTGTGCAGGTCTCAACCCCCATAGTGTGCAGTATCGCTTTGACAAATTCACACCCTTCTGGTGGGATGTAGGCACCTCTAAAAAATACAGCGCTGACTGACCTTATAAACCAGTACAGCAACACCGAGGAGAGGAAGCCTGAATCAACGCTGTAGTGGTGAATGTGCACTCCACATACCCACACAGAGGTCACGCTTCATACAGTGTTTGATCAGGTTTTAACATTCCTAAGACTTCCCTGTTTCCTGGCTCCAATACTTTGATTAGGCATGACAGAACGACTCCTCGCGCCCTGTAACAACCGAATGGCGCAGAAGAAGATTTCCTCTCTTCGAAATGACCCAAAGTGCGCTTTAGAAATTAATCCAACGCTCCACACGCGTTCCGATATTTTTCCAAGCCGAAGAGAAAACAAATAAACGAAACACTCCGTTTCAAAGGCATGGGGGGGCGGGGAGGACATTCAGGTTAAACAAAATGTTCCTTATCGGCGCGTCTCACACACACACACACACGCGCGCGGAACGGGGCGGCTCAGAACGGCCCACCTCTGAAAAGATCTCCACTAAGACAGCCAGGGAGTCTTCGCTGGTGTGCTGCCTTTACAGATAGCCATCTGGAAACAATCTGCAAGGAGCCCTGTGGATCGGAGAGGCCTCATCGCTACACTGGGGCTGCTGCAGACCACCAGGAGAACTGCCGTCTCAGGCACTAATAAGCCAAACATGTCTGCCACATTGATGCCATGTTTAACTTGTCACACAGTCAACAGTGCCACACGCCATTATCTCAGCCGGCAGACTGATTTATGGGAAGCAGCCACTGACGAGAGAAAGGAAATGAAGACAAGCATTAGGATGTATAAATAAAAGCATCCAGACACGCCAGGGACATTCAGGCTCTCTCTCTCTATCTGCTTTTTGCTCTTTTCTGTTCATTGGGGGGGGGCGCAGCCATCTGTCACTGTTCTACTTCAGACCTTCAGTCTCTGGAATTGTTTGGGTTTTTTTTGCAAACGCTCTTTGGTCTTGGAAAATGCCGAGCTTCACAGCACAGGAAAGCTGGCTGCTACAGGCTCTTTTAGGCTCAAAAAGAAATCTGCCCCCAATTTTGTAATCCTTTGCATGTGGGTGGTTAAAAAATGCATCCACACTTAACCTGTAATGTTGTGCCACTACCCACTTTGAGAAAACCTAAGGAGTCAAAGACAGTGGCAGCCTTTTCTGTGCCACTGTGGCAAAACTGTTCTATGAAATGTTTTGGTATTTGAACAGGAGGGTTATGTCTTGAAGGTTTTCATGTGCAGGTCTTTTAAAACCTTCCCACTGCTGTGAGATAGGGCAAAGGTAGGTTTACTGCCCTTTACTGTGATTATACCATGATTTCACTGGGGTTTACTGCAATCATACCGTGCGGTTGTGTTGTGAACCTTCATAGAGTAGTAAAAGCAGCATCAAACTTCTAAGCAGGAACCAAAACACCAAACATAAAAAGGATTTCTCGTCCATAAAAAGCAGAGACCCACAAACTGATTTAAACACACCCACGTCAGAAAAGTGCAGGTCTGCAACACAAAGCAAGTTAAGGACAGGAACAGAAAGGACACTCACAGCTCCTCCAAATACGGCAGGTTCCTGAAGACACTAGCAGGGAGCTCGGTGATGTTGTTCATGCTGATGTCCCTGTGGAGCACAAGAACAGAGAACAGTCAGAGAGGGGGGAGACCAGGGCTGTCCTGGACCTGCAGCAGGGCAGGTGAGGAATAAACGCACAAGCTGATGCAGGAGCCCTCTGACAACGATTTCACAAAAATCAGACGCTTGTTTTTCTGAAGAGGAAGGGGGTGGGTGGGGGGCAGTTTGATTGGTAATTTAAAGCTCACTCCTCACTAGTGTTACTGGCGGAAGCATTGTTGTTAAAGAAGCACAGATATCTGACATGGTGCGCGATTTGGACGGAGCAGTGCTTTTCGGCGTTTTAAAACCGAGCGGCAAAGCGCCACTTCGGAGCTACAGCGCTCCGCGGCAGTCTCTGATCGGGGACTCATCGGTCTCCGCAGACGGGCCCGTGTCTGTGAGCGGATGTCCGTTTCTACTCCCGCGGGAGCGGAGGGGTCGCCGTGCCGCGGACCTCGGACCTCGGTCCTCAGCGGGGCTCCGCGCACGAACACCCGGGGCGCCGTTCTCCCCCAATCCCACCTCGCGGACGGAATGCCGATGAAGGCAAGGAAATGTCTCGCCGAGGCATGTGTGTGCTTGAACGGTATGCGGGCACAGAACGGTGTGTTCTTCAAAGCCACGTGACCCGTGCAGTCGTTTCAGGAGGCTAATGGCCGGATAAGTAAAAATGACACACATTCGCAAGCACCCCCTCCCCACACCACACACACACGCATATCTTCGGGATAAAGAAAACAAAGGAGGACGGATCCCATGCTTCGGTTTCCTTTTAGCCTGTTTCGGGTTACCGACTCAGGCTTTTGCCCGGAGGCAGAGGTTTGCTGGACGAGCCCCGGCAGTGCGGTCTGATGGGACTCTTCCCTTTTCCCAGTCCACGTTCCCACAGGTTCATAACCTGTCATTAAATGGCTAAGCACTGTGTGACTGTTGCGTCCAGCGCTGGCCTATCTCAAACCTCGACATGCGCGACGCTTTTGAATAAGCGAGCTTCCTTGTCTGAGAAGCAGGAGCAGAAACTTCCCCAGCGCAGAGCACGCTGTCAAAAGCAGAGTCAGAGACCGCAAAACCCGGAGCCGAGAAGCTGATATATACGAGACCTGCGCATCTGGGCAACACAGCAATAAGACATCAAAAAAGGGTGCAACCGATTTCAATACAATGATGAAATATGCACATCGTTCGTCACGCTATGGTTTATTACGGTTGCATGCCTTCAAAAGAATAGAACAACATGCCAAAAAATAATTTCCAAATTCTGCAACATTTTGCATCGACTACTACTTTGCGTAGTCCAGGTACTCCAGCAAAACATTTGTCTTTGTGCTTCTAAAGTACACGGATCTTTGGGTCCACCTGTCACCCCCATCCACCTCATGTCGCTGAATTTTCCACCATGCTCTCGTGATTTTGACAGAGATCAGATGTGTCAGTGATCCTAGAAGACACCCTCTTTCGACTTATCAGCAGTCTGTTATGAGTACCCAGTGATACAGGCAGCAGGAATCACTAATTAGTTACACAAAATATACACAACATTTGCACAATTTAGAGACTTTTTTCGACAATTCCTCTTTCTACTTGTGGCCATCGCAGTACAACAGTGCTAAGAATTTAATTCCACAATATTATCATTCATTACCAAGCAGCCGATACCGCTTAAGCCTGCCTCAGCACAGGAGGCACTATAACTAAACAACTACATTGCAAACAAATGTAATTTCCTCCTCTGAAGTTAATCAAACTGCACGTTGGTAAAACTCATTTATAGCACACTGGAACTGTAAACCTAAAGACGAGGAGGACAGGAAACTAGGAGACTTTCTCCTCTTAGCAAATAGTGATGAATTAAAGGCAAAGAATGTTTTTTTTTTAAAGAGCAGTTGGTGGGAGACGACAAAACAAACCTAGCGTATCCTGTATTAATGAGGTGAAGCATTTTGAAAGGGCATCTAAGATTTTTCTGCTTAGAGTATCCCAGGAGTAGCAAGTGCACATATGGGTTACACAAGAGAAGACGGATCGCATTACCTACGAATCTGGCTAAGAGCCCGGGACATCAAGGATGTCCCTCATTCTTGCTTATCTGTGTTTACAATCTCCAGGTTGTCTTGATATTGAGTTACAGTGCGGGGCATTTCGACAGGGGCTTCAGATCCTCTCCCAGGGCGGAGGTCGCCGCCCTGACCAGCATAAGAAGCGCGGTGGTCCTTTTGCTACATTCCGTCTTGTAAAACGAAACCCCTGTTGTCGTTTCTGCTCCGCGCACACCGAGCCAGCTGCTGCCTGACTGCCTTCCCAGCCCCAAAACAGCCCGTTTCCAAGAACTCTTCCCGGAGAACCGCCGGCCTCGCGGGGCAGGGAAAACCGGCCCTTTTCTCCCCGACTCGAGTTTATCGCTTCGGCCGCACCCGTGGGCACGCTCCCTCGACAGTGACCGGCCGCTGCCGGTCCCCGTCCTGCTTCCTAATAAAACAGGTTTACAGGTTGACGGGCGGTCTCCACCTTCGCAGTTCACACAGTGCGTCGTCACCCAGCTCCGCCACCTGCTACCCGACGAAAGGGGACCGACTGGACAACCCACCCGTCCTCCTCTTTGCTTTTCACGGACGCGGGACGATTAAATCTTTAACGTGACTGTTCCCCCGAAACGAGAAGAAGAAAAAAGAGAGAGAGGAGACGAACCGAGTCCGAGAACGTCGGAAAAAAACGAAAAAAAAAACAACCTTTCTGTTGAGGTTGTTTGGGATTCTGACTCGCACTACGGGTGCACACATGGGCAGAATGAAAAGCCTGCAACACACCAGCATAATAAAATCTCTTTGAGAAACCCCTGAAATAATATGAATGAACGCTGCTGTTAAACGACCTGTTCGCTAATATCACATGCGGCTGCTTGGGCAGCAACCCGACTGCTGGTGCCTGTGTGTCTTACGTACGGTTTACTTAATAACCAATTCGTTTGGTTGACCAACGCTAGCTTGCATTTGGACACGTTCTCCCAGACGTGCATACATCCAACTTCATGGACAAAGTTGGGGGCGGTCTTCCTCTGCATCGCCTCATGTGCCCTGCCTGGAATCATCTGCATGTGCAGTTCTTTTATCACGGCTGGATACGGTTATACTGACGCGAGAGGTGCCGACTCTGCAAAAAAAAAAAGTGCCCTACAGCTTCTTGACAAATAATAGTTTTATTATGAAAGCCCTATCCAGTACACTACAATAGTGTAATTCTGTATTTCAGTACTGTGATAATAATGGCAATACTAACGGTTTCAAGTGCAGACATGCATTACCGTATCAGCTTGTTGTTCAGACAAATAAAATGCAGTGAATTTTGGCGCACAACCTGTTGGGCGGAAATGGACCCTTCTGTAAATCGGGGCGTACCTGTACGTCTGCGCGTTTACCTGAAGCAAGCCTCTCGCGCAAGGAAACGACGGCTGTGCCCCACCCAGGATTTGAACCTGCAACCTTTCGGTCAGGAGTGTCCAGAGTCCCGAGCGCTCCCTCCTGTCTCTCCCGCCCTGTACTTCAGCACAACAGTATGGGATTTCCACACAGGCCGACCAGCGCTAAGAAAACCGTCCTTTCGGATAAGACGTAAAACCGAGGTCCTGACTCTCTGTGGTCATTAAAAATCCCAGGGCGTTTCTCAAAAAGAGTAGGGGTGTAACCCCGGCATCCTGGCCAAAATTTCCCATTGGCCCTTACCAATCATGGCCTCCTAATAATCCCCCTCTCTGAACTGGCTTCATCACTCTGCTCTTCTCCCCACTGAGAGCTGGTGTGTGTGAGAGGACTGGAGCATCATCCAGGGGGGGCTGCACACTGGTGGGGGTGGAGGGGATCCCCATGACCTGTAAAGAGCTCTGAGTGGAGTGTCCAGGAAAGCGCTATATAAGTGTAAGCAATTATTATTATCATTGTTATTATTATTATTATGTGCCCTGTGATGGACTGACGCCCCATGCAGAGGGTACCCTGCCTTGCACCCGTTGCTTGCTGGGATAGGCTCCAGCTCCCCCATGACCCTGAAATTATTATTATTATTATTAAAACCCCAAGACTGTCCAGTGGGGACAGTGGGGAGCGAGGGGGAAGGAGCCCTTTGAAGACGCTAAGTGCCGAGTCATGAACCTGCTCCGAGGAGACCGCGTATCCAGGAAGCACAGACAAGAGAAACTTGGCAACCTGTCCACTTTCCTTCTTTTTTTTTTTCAGCTCAGCCCATTCAAAACAAACAGGTCGTTTCCTCTGACTCAGCCTGGCCAGCCTCTCTCAGTATGCCCACTTCCTCCTTCGTCTCTGTTTACCGAGCTGACAGCACCGTCACACCACTCTCGCCTCCTCCGACAACAAGTGCAAAATATTCCCGTCAATGGAACTCATTCTCCAGCTGTGACAAGGGACTTGCAAAGGGCTAACACAGCTGAGTCAGTTATCACCCTGCCAACTCACAGCTGGCTTCCCACTGGAGCTCAGCAGGTGTGAGCCTGGTCAGTAGCCAGATGGGAGACTCCTGGGAAAGCTGAGGTTGCTGCTGGAACAGGTTTTAGTGGGGGCCAGCAGGGGGCGCTCACCCTGCAGTCTGTGTGGGTCCTAATGCCCCAGTATAGTGACGGGGACACTGTACTGTTAAAAGGCACTGTCCTTCAGATGAGATGTAAAACCGAGGTCCTGACTCTCTGTGGTCATTAAAATTCCCAGGGCATTTCTCGAAAAATTGTATGGGTGTTACCATGGTGTCCTGGCCAAATTTCCCCCTGGCCTTTACCAGTCATGGCCTCCTAATAATCCCCATCTCTGAACTGGCTTCATCACTCTGCTCTCCTCCCCACTGAGAGCTGGTGTGTGTGAGAGGACTGGAGCATCATCCAGGTGGGGCTGCACACTGGTGGGGGTGGAGGGGATCCCCATGACCTGTAAAGAGCTCTGAGTGGAGTGTCCAGAACAGCGCTCTATAAGTGTAAGGAGTTATTATTATTTGGTCATCATTTGGAA